TATAGTAGTAGTAAGTAGTAGTATTAGTAGTAGTAGTAGTAGTAGTAGTAGTAGTAGTTGAAGTAGTAGCGTTAATAATAATAGTAAAAAGAAGTGACAAGAAGTAGTCAAAGCTACAGCCAAAAAAAATTTTTTTAAACTGGAACTCAAACGGACACAGACGTCTGCTTTGGTCTGCCGGAAACCAACAACAACATCCGCATAAGTATTATATATATATATATATATATATATATATACATATACATATATACACAATTGTTTCATATATATATATATATATATATATATTAATATTTAGATATACATTTGTTTCATATATATGTATATATACATGAATGACATGTCTTATATATTATATATTATCATTCACACTAATAAGAATGGATGTATGGATATGTAATTATATACTGCGTGTGTTATATACCCTATATTTATTTCCATTTTATACATAGTCTATAATACTTAGTTGTTTTAATCGTTATCATCGTTATTTAAGTAATCATCATCATGATCCTCATCATCGTCATTATCACCATCATTCTCATCATCATTATCACCATTATTCTCATCATGATTATCATCACCATCGTTTGTAGACAGGCGTTAATTACACCACATCGTCACAAATTCATGTAACAATGTTTATTATTATTATCATTATTATTATTATTATTATATTATTTTAATTTATTGGCTACGAAACAAATTTTTCCTAATTTGTTTGCATAATTATTTACTTACGAACATTTCAATACATCTCTGTATAAAAAGTACACACACATACACATAAACAAACACAGATACACATAAATAAACACAGATACACATAAATAAACACAGATACACGTGAATAAACACACGTACACACGCACACACACACACACACACATACATACGAATAATGAAAATAAACATTTCAGAGATGACGAAATGATGTGAGGGTTTGCCACATGCATGGACAAATAATACTCACGTATTGCAAATATATTATGAATGGTATGTACATTTCTTTGTATGTCTGAATGTATGTGTGTGTATGTTTGTTTGTATGTTTATTTGTCTGTATAGATGTGTGATTATGTATGCATGTAGCCATTTATGTAGATATGTAAGTAGAGCTTGTATATATTTAGTATTGGTAGAATTTTTAAATAGCTTGAATTGTTTGAGAAGATTTTATGCGTATCTTATAAACGCGTGAGCTCATTTTTGTATATATTATGGATGTTTTTGCATGTGTGTGCGTGTGTTTGTGTGTGCGTGTGTTTGTGTGTGCGTGTGTACAGCGTTTTTTGCGTGTGTTTTGTGCCTTCAATTGCAAATAATGGATGATGGCTGCCTGCTGATAACATCCTGACGGACATATAATGCGTATATTGGTGCACGCGTGTGTGTGTGCGTGTGTGTGTGCGTGTGTGTGTGCGTGTGTGTGTTTTTGCGTGTGCGTGTGTGTGTGTGTGTGTGTGTGTGCGCGGGTGCTCATGTTGGTCTGTGTGTCTGCTGTTTTATTTTTAAAACTCATTAACTGCGTTATAAAAAGCGGCCATTATCATATTTTCGTTGTCACATAACTTGATTAACTCAATCCGTATGTATGGATGTATGTATGGCTGTATGTATGTATGTTTGTATGTATGTATGTATGTGTGTGTGTTTGCATGTATGTATGTGTGTGTGTTTGCATGTATGTATGTGTGTAGTAGAGGTGAGTGGGAATTGAAAGTTATTCCCAATTCCCTCCCATTCCAGATTCTCTCCCGAATTCCCATTTATGACAACATTCTCGAAAATTCGCGTTCCCATGCTTACCTCTAGTACGTATTTTTGTATGTATGTTTGTATATTTGCTTGTTTGTATATTTGCTTGTTTGTATATTTGTATGTAGATTTGTTTGCTCGTCTGTATGTGTATGTATATCTCCAAACACTGGCACAAACATAGGTAGAAAAATAAGACCGTCTAATCAAATTATTGCATATTCTTCTTTCTATATTTAAATCTTTTAACTCTCTTTATCTTTCTCTTTCTCTCCCTCTTTCTCTTTCTCTCTCTTTCTTTTCTTTTTCACTAATTCTATTCTTTCTATCAGTTTTAATGTCAAAAATTGTTCTTTGCCTACAACGATTATAATGGTATATAAGCAACTGTTTGTTTGCTAATGCATATTCAAATTGAATATTACATTAACAGTGATTTGTAAAAATTTTCACCCCTCTTTACCAACCAATCACAATCCTTCGCCCAACCAAACAACCAAACACAATCCTTTGTCCAGCCAGCCAACCAACCGACCAATCTCGATTAACTCCCCAACTAGCCGACCAATCACAATCAACCGTCCAACCGGCAAAATATCTTCCAACCAATCATCAATCGGTCCGTGCTTCCATTTGCTTTGGATATTTGCCATAATAATGAAATATAGTTGGACGCCTAATATAAAACAAACAGCTGAATATATGACTGAAGACAGGCTCGCATCGCTATTTTTCTCTCTCTTTCTCCCTTCTCTCTTTCCTCTCTCTCTCTTTTTTTTCTCTTTCTTACTCTCTCCCTTTTCTTATTATTTATCATTGTAATTTTCTTTTTTTT